CAGACAGCTGGACCTGCTGCTGCCTCCTCCTGCAGTGATGCTGAGGATGCCAAAATGCACTGGGAGAGAACAGAGCACCTCCTTGCCCAACTCATATGCTAAGACCAAAGCTCCTGTTCCTTTGGGGAAAAATTCTCACCTATCTTATTTTCAATAAGGCTGCAATCTTGCCTTTCTAGGCTCAAAAATGCACTTGGTCATGGGATAATAAATGGAAGCAACCCCCCTTCTCCTCAGGTGGTGAGAGCACTGGCACCAGGGAGTGAAGCCAATCTGAGAGACAGCTGGGGAAACCTGAATTTAAGCCATGATGCAGGTGTTTCCTTCAGTCTCTCAGGGCCAATTCACAGGTTTTCATCTCAAATTATAAATCACCAACACATGAGGGTTAAGCATTTTCCCTCCTTCAGCATCCTCCCTCCAGGCTGTGCAGCTACCACAGTGCCAGCAGAAAAGTTCAGCAATATTCCCTTTATAGGATATATCTGAATTATTCCTCTAGCACGCTTTCTCCTGGTTTGCTGTGATCCCTGAAAGATGGTGCAAAACACACATGGGACTCAATGTGTGGAGTCACTGGATTCAGAGAAATTCACTGGGATTTGGTTTTCTTGGGAATATCCCACAGCTTGACCATATCCATCAGCAGATCAGGAGTGCAGCAAGAAAAAGCAGCATAGAAGAAGGTTTCTAGAGCTGTTTGGTTATGTTAGGGCTCAAACACAAGGCTCCAGATAGCCATGACAAGGTCTTGGCAAGGTTGCAGCTGACAATTCTTAAAATCACCTGAATAAAAAAAGGCCTCCGATAAGAAAAGAACTGCAGAAACCCTTAATGCACTCATGCCATCTACTGGGTGCACACAAAACTAACAGAAAACCATGAGATGGGGGGAAAAAGGGATCCCAATGGGGTGGGCAGGTGGGGAGATGTCACCCCTATGGGTGGGAGCCCTGCTGGAGAGGTTTTAGGGTCTTCAGGTGATGCCTAAAAATGAGGATTTTAACTGAGCAAAGCAACTCACTCATTTGTCCCCAAAATCAGCCCAAGGAGACTCAGCCCGGCTCCAGCACAAGCAATCCACCCTTCAATTTTCAACCAAGACCTTTTAAGGCCAAACAATTAGGTGATGGCAGAGCCCACACCACTAAAATCCCAGAGATAAATACATCCCAGTCCTTGCAGAATTACTGGAAGCCGTACTAAGGGCATGAAGGAACTGGTAACAGATGATGATTCTATATAAAAGGAATAAGAAATCTTTGAGATTTGTGCTGCTCCCTGGTCTAGCCACTCAGCTCCAGCTCTGTGGTGTATTAATTGCTTACAAGGCTGCATGTATATTTTATGCTCAGTACCTGCCTGGAACATTTGTTGGATTTAGCCTTGATTGATGAACCACTGATTATATACTTTTGTGGTCTTCAGCAAATTAATAAACTGTTGACTGGTAGAGATTAACAACATGTCATGATTTGTGAATCTGTGTCCAGAGTAAAGCTGGAGCAAACCTAGTGCTAAAATTAGTAGGCAAATGCTCCCTGAACTCTATAAAAAGGGGATAGCTTAATTAAATTACATCCCGATATTGCCCATAGCACTTACCAAATTGGCAAATTGAGTTCACCGCAGTTCAGCTTCAAAACTAACTGACATCCCTGAAAATCTGCAGCATATGACCCCATCCCTTCTTGCTCTGGAAGCCCAGCTCACACCCAGCAGACTCCAGGAGCAGGGATGAGGAGGGGCAGTGCAAGAATAGGCAAAGAAAGTACCAGAATGTCTCAAACTGAGCCTGTGTGAGCTCTGAGCTCCACTCCCAGCCCCTCTGATCCCACTCAGCACCATGAGCACCACCCAGGGCTGGGGGCAGTACTGCCAGACACCCATTAGGCTTTTCCCTGGACAATGGGAGCATGGAGCACGGTCAGAAACGTGGGTGTGGGAACCCAGAACATCCCTCTGGCTGTCCAGCATGGCCAGGACCCCTGCCAGGGGGCTTAGAGACCCTGGCACAGAGCCCAAAACACCTGTGGGTTTCATTATGACCCATGGAGCAAATTACCAACCTTAGATGAAGATCAGCAAGCCACAACAGTTCAGGTAGAATAATAGTGAAGTTATTATGGGGTGGAAAAGTAGATTTTGGGGTTTCTGGTATGGGGGTTCAGGAGGCAAGATGGAGGAATCTGGGTGTGTCCATCCTTTCTCCTTCTTCTTCTTGGCCTCCATCTTCTGCTGTGATGGTGGCACTTTTGGATTGGTTTAGAGTAGAAGCTCACTGTCTAACATAGGCGATAGGTATTGGGAAGTAATTGTAAATATTGTACATGTAGTTTTTAGTATAAAGACATAACCCTGCCCTGGGGGCAGGCAGAGTGCCTGGAACTGTCCTGCTGGATGGACCTCGGCAGGGCAGGAGAAAGAATTTTATAGCTAAGGAACAATAAACAACCTTGAGACTGAGAAATGAAGAGCCCTGACTCCTTCTTCAAGTGCCAGGCTGGGAAAAGAGACTTTTAACAATCTTGGGGTCACAGCAACCCAAAAGATCCCGAGACATGGGGACAGCTCCTCCTCACACCTCTCCTCACACCCCACCTTTGCCAACAGGTGACCAGCAAGAGGTGATGAGAATAAAACACTGCACAGGGCTGGGAAAGCTGGGAAGCAGCATGGGCTGGGGAGTCCAGAGGGAAGCAGGGAGACAAGGGCTGGGGTGGGATGCAGTGGCTGTCCCCACACACCCCTGGGCTCTGCTGTGCTCAGGCTGGCACTGGGGAGCTTCACCCCAAGGCTGGAGAGGGATAGAGCAACCTCGTGCTCCTGCAATGGGGAGAAAAAGGGGTGAAGAACACAATGGGGAGAGACTGTCTGCTGTCCCCATGGGATGCACGGCCCCAGGAGCCTGCTCTGATGCACAGCATGAGGGTTCCTGTGTCCCCAAGTGTCCCCTGTCACCCACAGGCAGGGGAAGCCCTCCAGGAGAATGCTCCTGCTGCTCCTCCCTTGTCTCCTCACTGTACATGCTCCATTCTATTTAGACACAGCCTCAGTCAGGCATTACAGAAGCTGGGCTCTGTTTTCCCCAAGTAACACGGTTTTCCTTTTCTGCCTCTCCACATGCCACCACTAGGACTGTAATTTATTGACAGCTTCTATCTTAATATGTCCTGACTTTAAAAAGAGGCACCACTTCCCAGAGGCGTGAGGTGATCAGAGCCCTGATTGCTTCTGACAGTGCCTGGGCAAGGATATTGGCATTCAGAGCAAAATAACACCCAAAAAATGGGGAAAAACACCCCAAAAAAGGGAGAAAACACCCCAAAAGACTAGAAAGGCAGTTGTTACCTGGAAAAGGGGGTAAAGAAAAAAAACAGCAATGGGAAAAGAAAGGAGGAAGGGGAGAGGAGCATCAAGCGGGAGGCGGCACCAGGTTGCTGGTGACACATCAGACTGTCATGCTAAATGGCCTTAACAAGCAACCTGAGAAGGGGATAATGAAAACGCCTCCCCCCCGGGACAGCACGGCTCCAGGCTGACCTTTCCCAGCTGCCGTGTACAAACATCTTCAATAAATAAAGAGACACTTACCTCCTGTCTCTGCTGAGACAAGAGGGATGTGGAGAGGGGGCCCTGTCTGCAGTGTGAGGGGTTCCAGGGGTTTGGGAGCAGAGAATGTGTGGTGGAGGGGATGGCGGAGGGGGTGACAGTTCTGGGGTCACCAAGGCAGGCAGGGCCTTCAACAAAAGACACAAAGGGATGCTCCAGCTTTGCCCCACTTCTCTGCCCTGTGTCTCTGCATGGATTCACACAGGCTCCTCAGGCAGGGAAGGGATGGCTTTGATGTCTGGGTGAGGTGCTGAGCTCTGCTGCTCCCAGCTGGAAGCGCAGCAAAACCCCTCTGGGCATCACCAGTGCCTGGGAACAGCTCCCTGGAACTGTTCACAGCCAGGCCCTGGGTAACCTGGTCAGCGGAAGGTGTCCCTGCCCATGGCAGGGGGATAGCACAAGATCACCTTTAAGGTCCTCTCCAGCTCAAATCCTTCTAGGATTCTATGATTCAGAGCTTTGGCACACACATCCCCTCAGCCACAGGAAGCAGGAGCAGGTCACATCTCCTTCTGGCTTGTCCCCAAACCAGAGGACAGCCCTGAGGACCCTACAGCCCCAGTACCAACCCCAAAGCCTCAGTATGTACCCCACAGCCCCAATATGTACCCCACAGCCCCAATACCAACTCCACAGTCCCAGTATGGACCCCACAGACTCAATATACACCACACAGCCCCAGTATGTACCTCAAAGCCCCAATACCAACCCTACAGTCTCAGTACTCACTCCACAGCCTCAGCAACTACCCCAAAGCTCCAACACCTACCCTACAGCCTCAGTACGTACTTCAAAGCCCCAGAATGTACCCTACAGCTCAAAACTTATCCTACAGCCCCAGTACATACCACACAGCTCCAGCACCTACCTTACAGCTCCAGCACTCAGCCCACAGCTCTAGCACCTAGCACACAGCCCCAGTACCTATCCCATAGCATCAGTACCTCCTCCACAGTCCCAGTACCAACCCCACAGCCCCAGTATGTGCCCCACAACCCCAGCACCCATCCCACAGCCCCAGTATGTACCCCACAGCCCCAGTATGTACCTCAAAGCTCCAATACCAACCCTACAGCTCCAGCACCTACCCCACAGTCCCAGCACTCACTGCACAGCTCCAGCATCTACCCTACAGCCTCAGTACTCACCCCACAGCCCCAGCACTCATCCCACAACTCCAGCACCTACTCTACAGTCCCAGCACCCATCCCACAGTCCCAGCACTCACTCCACAGCCCCAGCAACTACCCCACAGCCCCAGTACTAACCACACAGCCCCAGCACCCATCCGACAGACCCAGCACACATCCCACAGCTCCAACACCTACCCCATAGCCCCAGCACCCATCCCACAGCCCCATTATGTACCCCAGAGCCCCAGCACGTACCACACAGCCCGTGGAGTCCACCTTGCGGTCCGACACACACTTGAAGTTGCGGGTGCAGCCGCCGTTGTTGCGGGAGCAGTCGCGGACGGGCCCGAAGGAGGAGAGCAGGTCATTGATGGTCTCGAAGTAGGTGGACAGCATCGCTTCTTCCCTTGGAGAGAAAAGCACCGTTAGGGCTGGCAGGAAAGGGCAATGCACAGAGAGCTGCTCTGGTAAAATCCCTGCTTAGAGATACCGAGCCAAAGGAAACTTCCTGCGAAAAATGTGTGTTTTTATATTTGCTTTTTTCACAAGTATTAAAATGAATATTGTATGTGTTATGTTAGAGAGTGATGTTGTATTAATTTTCTTCAGCAGTATGTTAAATATAGTTTTAGGTTATAACATAACGTTAAAATAGAAACTATGCTATGTAAGATACTTTTTTTAAGAGAGGATTCACAGTGAGTAGCAGCCACAGGACACCTAAATCTTTCAGAGAAAGAGAATTTATTGCTCCATTATCAGAAGCAACTAACGTCTTCCTGCCTCACTCAGCCCTGAAGAGCAGTCAGGATTCAGAGGAAGAAGTTGATTCTGACCAGACAGAATCCTTTGTTTGAATGGAATTTATGCATCATGTATGAGGTGTATGAATTTGCAACAGGTGATTGTTTTTAAGGGTTAACCCTCTGTTAATGTGTGGGCTTTTTTGGGCTTATTTTACCCAGAAAGAGGTACCCAGACTGCCCATAAGTCTTTGCTTTTATTGTCTCCTATTGTCCTAAATCCTAATTGTCCAAATTTTTATTTCTCTAATTATATTCCTATTTTTAAAACCATTTTATTACTATTAAACTTTTAATTTTTTTTAAATAAGTGATTGGCGTTTTTCACACTTCCCAAGGAAATTGGGGGTTTGTGATTATGCAGTACAATGAACTTGCTGCATAACTTTGGCATCATTCACAGAATCAACCAGTCATGGGGTTTCAAAGATACCATCCACCAGTTTTACTCAAATTAGCAACTGGGAGATGCTTTATTAGTAGCATAGAGCTGGGTGTGAATTCAACCCTACACTAGACAACAGCAAATCCAGAGCCATAAAACTCTTTTTGAATGTTTCATAGCTGGGCAAAACCTCCTTGAGCATCCAGATCCCACCACCCAGCATGATCATCATCATCACCCACATCCACCCCAGTGACACTGCCATGTCGTCACAGGCCCCCTGCCAGGTAATAATTAGCATTGACTCCATGATTCACAGAAGACTGATCAATCTATTAATTATTCATAATTATTATGAAACCCGTTGGTTTTATAGATAGTTGTGATACACCCGGACCTAATTAGTCCTCCAGTCCAAACACCACCTCCATTGGCTAATTAAGAACATTAAGAACATTTGTTTGGTAAACAGATCTCCATAGCACATTCCACATGTGGACAACAATAAGTGCAGCAGGTTAAGATAAGAATTGTTTCTCATTCTTTTCTCTGATCTCCTCACAGAACAATGCCTGGGAAAGCTGTGTTTCTCTCTGTGGCCAGAGAGCTGCTGCCACACTGGCAAAGCTGGAAAGACACCTGGAACTTGGCTTTGTGCTTGCTGGGATGTGGAGCAGATAACACAGGGATGGGTGCAGGCACAGCTCTGCTGCTCTGCTCCAGCCCATGATGGGCAAAGCCCCAGGCACTGCTGTGCTGTGACACCCTTCAAGCAAGCAGCATGAGCACCCAGGAATAATTCCAAGGCCCTGTGAAGCCTTGGGAAGCTCCCAGCCCTGCCTCTCAGAGCTGCACACGCAGCAGATTTTGCCTGTGACAAAGCATTCAGGCACTCTGCCTTCTGCTGGATTCCTGCAAAAGGAACACACATGCTTGTCAAGAGCTTTAAGCATCTCCAAGATATTTTTTTTCATCCTCAAAGCACAGTTTATATGTTAACCAATACCCACAGTGCATCCTGGGCAACAGAGCCCATCACCTGACAGGAGAGAGACAAAGTGATCAGAGAGGGAGGGAGGTCACAGAACAAGGCACTGATAGTGACAGACTTGACCTCCACAGGCTGTTTATTAGATCTTTACCCACAGCAGCCTGCAAATTAACCCTGACCCCTCTGACCTCAATACCCCTGAGGCAAAGCTGGGAGTCACAGCTTGGTTTACTCCCCTTGAGCCTCTCTCCTGCTCAGCCATCAGCACAATGACCCGATGCCCATCTCTGCTGTCCCTTTTTGGGGGTGTTTAATGTGAAAACAATCTGCCTGGCAATGAAACAGCAGTAGAGGAATATTCATCAGCCCTGGAGGGCCACGGTGGTGCTGCCTGGAAGCAGCCCTGCGTTCTCTATCAGCAGAGGGCCCCTGAGCTCACACGCCGTCACACTCACGCACACAGCCCTGCCAGCACTGAAATCATGAGTCAGGCATTAAAAAAGAATATAATGCAACTGGCAGCCAAATGATGAGATTTTAAAAATAAATCAATTGCTGTGCTGCTTTGTTGGTTTTTTTTTTCTTTTTCTTTTTTTAATATTTTCCTCCCCTAAATTTGCTCTAGGGTATAACCAAGCTTTTTCCCTGCAAACTCAAGGGCTAGAAACTCCTCAGAGACCAAGCCCAAATAAAGCCCTATGCAGGATTGACAGCATGATTGTTTTTTTTAGATTGAGGATTTCAAGGCAATCACAGGATTCCAAAAGTTGGGACTGTCAATAAGGGAAACACCATTAAAAGCAGTGAGAAATAGTATATTGGCACATCCTCATGGGCTGGGGTGGATGAGTTACCTCAGCACTGGGGCAGCTCTGTGCTCACTGTGGTGTCCCACATAGCAAATTCATGTCTGTGCTGCCATCTCTCACCCCAATTAATGCTTCCCAATTAACTTTTCACTGGTAGCAATCAAGCTCCTGAAACTCTCCCTTTCTTGGCCCACCTCCTAGATTTTCCAGCATATTTGGAGACGAATCTCCCTCTGTCCTTTCTTGGTCATGTTTCAAATCTCTTTAGAGGCCGTTTTCTATTAGCACTCTGTTCCCTCCAGGATCTGCAGCTCCTCTGAAATGAGGGAGTGAGAAAGGCAGGATATATTAGATCAGGGCTCATATTTCTGCTGGAGAGATGGGGAGGGGAGGAAGGAGATATTATTTACTAACTAACCTCACTGTTTATTAATGTAGGGAGAATTATTTTAGAAAAGCCAAAACCAACAAACCGTGACAGCTCCCCCACCACCCACCCCTAAAGCTCAGCCCCATCTGGTCCTCCCAGGGGGTTTCTCATCGTGGGTGGACAGCAAGGAGAACCATGATCCCATCCTCCCTCCTGGCTTCTCCACTGAGCCACCACACAACCCACATGACTGGAAGGAGAAGGTGAGGAGCTACTTTAGGTGGTGGAAAGGAGATTCTGGGCTGGGTCCTTGCACAGGATTGCTCCAGAGACACAGAATTCTGTCAGGAGACATTGGCTCATCCCACATGGCACCAGGCTGGGGCTGGCAAGGGCAGCTTGTCATGCTTTAATTAAAACTTGGAAGCACAAAGCAACCTCCTGCCCTGGGGAAGGCTGAGGATGGGAATGGGAAACTGGCTCTCCAAAGCCTGGCATAATGGATGACCCCTGCCAGAGCCCAGGAAGGGCTGGCGAGCTGGAACGAGCCATTAAGCACATTAAAATATTAACCTTGCTGGGAAGCGTTCAAGTGCCACCTGTGAGAGGAGCAGGGTGAGGGCAGAGCTCTGCAGGATCAGTTCTGTGTGGCCATCATTCCATTAGGGGAGCTTCACTTCAACACAGAGCCCTGACAGGGGCGGCAGCTCATGAGAGCCTGGTGTGATGCTCAGAGCAAGCTGGGAGCAAACTTCACTTTCATCAGCTTCTGGAGGGGCTGGAGGAGCCAGGCTCAGTGCAGGCAGGCACTGCCAGCCTCAGCAGCTCCTTTTAATTGTGGCAGTGAAGAGCAGTCATTAATTACCTGCCTTCTGACACGTGGCACGGAGCAGATCATTTTCCACCCACACAGCTCTGCCAGGGACCCCTGCCTGCCCTTCCCTGCCCCTGTATGGGGCTCCTGCTCTCACATCCCAGAGCCAGCCTGTCACTATAGCACACCAAAGAACACAAGCACACACTACTGTTCTTAAGGTGAAAGAAAAAAGGGAAGTTTATTTTTTGACTCTAACATTTATAGTTTTCTAAAAGTGACAGCGGATTGGAGGGTGACAGTGCCACCTCTGCAATGACACTGGTCAAACCAACAGTTTATTAACTCTCTCTCCTTCTATAAAGGAATGTAAAACAATGAGTAATTTACAGAAAGTGTGTGACAAAGTTCACTACAAGAATGTCAATATCAGAAGACTCAGAAAATCTTAAAAAAACAGGGTGACATCAGCAGTGCCAACACATGGATCCCTGCGTACTGAGGGCGTACTGCAAAACTCATAATCACATTTTTTTATAATTGTATATAACCCATAAAAGGCAGGGGATACTTGGGCAGCATCTGGCCAGCACTGCAGGGAGCCCACTGGGGACAGCCAGCCCCACCATGGCCCGGGTGCCAGATTAGCCAGCCCTGATGGATGAATCACCTGCCCTGCAGTAACAAGCTGCCTGCAAAAGAACAGCTCTGGCTCTGCATCTCTTCCAGTGAGTAAGCCCTGGATCTGACAGGGAGGGATGGAAGGACAAGCTCTGTGTCCTGAGTGCATTAAGGGACACAGGGAAGCTGCTGGTGGCCCTGGCTGGACCCAGGGGCCAAAACCAGGGAGCAGGCAGGACTCAGCACCTGGGGAGGATGGGGAAATCCATCAGTGACCCAAAAACAGGTCTTGTCCAAAAGGGAATTTTGGAGAGAGCAATCTAATTTCTGCAGCCAGATCCTCTCCACAAGCCCATGAACATCTATGAACATACACACACACACACACACACACACGCACGCACACACACACACACTTTAACTCTCCAGCTCTCCCAAAGGTGCAGACACCCAAATGATATAGTTATAAATGAAACACACACTCCCCTCCCTGCCAGGACCCTCTGAACACACACCCAGCATCAGTAAAACCCAATTTATTATCAACATCTCATGGCACAAATGTCCAGCATGGTGCAGCACAGCTGGGCTCCCCTCCTGACCCTGCTCCCAT